TCGATTAGTCAATTGCACCACCACCAAGTTGATTGGCTGGAACATTGTATGCAAGACACAAGGCAAGTTGATTAGAAAGGTTTCGGAGTTTAGGGGTACTGAAAAACTCAGCTTCATATTTGCGCAGCCAACACTTACAATGTCGGATAGCCACGACCCCTGTTTGAGCGTGCGCATGTCACGCCGGGTGCCAACTTCACATGCCCGTCCATGAAGATTCATGGAAACAACAATGTCCCTACAAGCAATAAATGATCCTTAGAACGATAGTTATTTCACAGTGGACTGTCATTGAAAATTTGCAAGTAGTAAATGAAACAATACATTTCATTTTTGCTATCGTCAAATACATAGTGAGCTCATGTTGCTCCTGTATTCCAGCAGTTGCAAGCTATCTACGAAAGGCTGAATGAAGTGGACACACGGTTGTCAAGTTTGGAGCGGCAAGTCGGCGCTATCAAGCAGAACGTTGATTGGCTGACCGATGACAAATTGGCGGCGGACGAAGCGAAGTCTGATAAGACAATGGATGAGGACAGTCAGTCAGACAGTACGGACAACTCTTCAGAAGACGCTGCTGATGATGCAGCAGATATGTAGATTTGATTTATTTTTTTTTTATCCTTCCCTGTAAGCCATGAAATTTTTTGTTTGGCTGGGGTCATATGTGCTAATGGGCTGATATATAACTTACCTACGAAGAGTATTGAGTTTTCATTCATAATGTGGTTTTGGCTGGTTGTGCACAATTTTTGTTTGCAATTACAGCTTGTGATTCCAGTCAATGATTCCGACACTTAAACTTTGTTGTCCATATTGAACGATTCTCAAACATGAAGTAATCAACAAAACGTAGGTTAATGATAGTTTCTGATATCGGTCATTGACATTACAAAAAAATTACCTTCTCATAGTACCAACAAAAATCATAAGACAGCTTTTAGTCGAGGACAGTGACCCAAAAAAATACTTTCAACAAAGTGGACATGATGAAGACTTAGAGGCATGCACCGTTGCAATGGTTAGCAGAGTATGACGGTCTGTTAGTTTCTAAGTCGTTTATTTTCGCGCGACGATGCCATCTTACAAGACTACGCTTACTATGTCATACACATGTCCAGGTCTGCTAATCCTCGCTCAAATCAACAACTTCGGAGTCTGAGTAATCTGAAAGGTCAGGGTCTGACACCAGTGCAGGATCCTCCATTGTAGCCTTGATCGCAGATGCCGGGTTCGATCCATGTATCTTCGACTCTGCATTTGCGTCCTCTATCCGTGAGTTCCTAATAAGTCGACGAGTCATTTGATCAACCTCACTTTGCAAATGATGCCTAAGTTGGGACTCGCTCACATGAGGGAATTGCCGCTGCATTTCAACCGATCGGGCTTTTGTGACCTTCAGAAAAGCACATCGACAGTGGTGTTCACACTGAACTCGTTTGGCAAACAGTGAAACTGGAATTCCAAAATACTTCCCCAGGCAAGCATCTTGTATTGGGGTGCAGTTGTAATCCCGTAGAGGTTCAAAACTCCACAGTGGGAACCCTGTTTCAAAGAAATGTCGATCACCGAAGGAATCGATATACCCCCCTGCATAATCCAATTCTGGTGACTTCGGTCGGGAGATGGCAGCCGTTGCAAGTGATTGTCCACGACCACGTTTACCGTGGTGTGCATCCATAGGTGTGAAGGTTCTTGATTGAGTCCAACTTTGTTTTCGCAGGTTCACGAAGAATATATGGGCAAAAACAAACCCAAATACAAAGGAAACAACACTAGTTGCAAACTTTTTTGTGGTTGGTTGTAAATGTTAAATTACCTTAAACCCGTAGTCATTAATACGTTGGTGGTAGGTTTAAAGATGTGAACACACTTATTGTTGTTTGGTGGCAACACCCACCCAAACTGCGTAAAAGCAACTTAATGACTGCGGGTATTTCATTTAATAGGTTTGGTGCAATTGGAAAGGCATATGTATCTGATAAGAGCAATTTTTCTAACCTTTATGGATGAGTAGACATGTAATTGGGTTGGGGCACAAATACAAATGACGAATGTGAATGTATGATGAACTGTGGGTGCGGAAATCAATGACAGTGGGATAGTACTGATGGAAGGTACAATGCATGTGTGTTGGAAATGCCAAATAATGGACGATCAGGGGTACTGAACGGATGACTTGGTGCATGCAAGAAGGAACGAATTTTTGCAAGATGAATTCGGCCAGTTTGAGAAATTAATACAATGTATGTCACAACACATGAGGTCTTCTGCAAACATACTAGTCATGTATCATATATTACAAATACTTACAGCATAGTGTTGTGTAATATTATGAATCTGTACATTCCTTTAAAAAAGTAGTCAGTAAAATAAACCATACACATATTCCTACAAAATGTCCGATTCGAACAAGATTGAAGCTATTGTTGAAGCTCATGTTGCTCCTGTATTCCAGCAGTTGCAAGCTATCTACGAAAGGCTGAATGAAGTGGACACACGGTTGTCAAGTTTGGAGCGGCAAGTCGGCGCTATCAAGCAGAACGTTGATTGGCTGACCGATGACAAATTGGCGGCGGACGAAGCGAAGTCTGATAAGACAATGGATGAGAACAGTCAATCAGACAATATGGACAACTCTTCAGAAGACGCTGCTGATGATGCAGCAGATATGTAGATTTGATTTTTTTTTTTTTTTTTTAACCTTCCATGTAAGCCATGAAAGTTTTGTTTTGGCTGGAGTCATATGTGCTAATGGGCTGATATATAACTTACCTACGAAGAGTATTGAGTTTTCATTTATAATGTGGTTTCTTTCATTTTTGAAAATTAATTTTCCCTTTTTTGTAATTAAATTATAAATTAACTTCGGTAACAAAAGCAGTCGTAAATTATATACAGTTACAGTCGCATTCATCCGAACAAGAAACATGCGTAAAGAAAATAGTACTAAGTCAGCAGCCACATCGACATGTTTGATCCATGTTTACATTTGACTTGCACTTTGCAGTTAGTCCATATTTACATCGTCCAGCAAAAACAATACTGGGGAGCCATAATTAACATCCATATTGAAATCAAAGAATAAAAAATTAGTTAAGTCCTATTGCCACCCAAATTACTGGCGTACTGGCAGCCCATTCCCATCACTGGCCTAGCTTGTGGCATTGCTCATATGAAGGCACTCCCGGTATTCTGCGATCTTTGCATTATTGACATCCATAATGATGTCAACCAACAACTTATGACGCACAGAGAGAGCGAACTTTGTACAGAAAGATCATAAGACAAATCAGTTAAAATTGCAGGACATACGAGGAAGGATTTGATTGACAAATGGAAATTAAGCGGTAGAATGTACCTTGTGTGGACCGGGGCTTAAATCAGGTTGCTGCATGAATTTGATGACGAACATCCCACAGTCAAACGTGCTACAAAAATAATTTCACATTAAAGTTGTCGTCAATACTTAATAGGTTCGTTAAGTCAGTCATGCAGCATGGACATTAATGTGAGGGAGGGATTGTGGATTACTCGTCCAGTTGTTGTACTGGCCTCTCATCTAACATGCAGCGGTGGAAGCTGCGCACGTCTGTAACATAATCATTTCCAAAGTGTAGTTGCAGCAAGTCGTGCATAGTTTCAACCTGTTCCACAAGGTTGAAGTTGGTTTACGTAAAGGATGTTCAAGTTTTTTGTAGTGTTCAGAAATGCACCAGAAGGACATACCAAAATTTTAGCTGCATTTAGCTTCCTTTTGTTCGGTCGGTTGGATGGGAACGAGTCAAATAGGTAGGCTACATGGTCCACCATATCAATTTTAACGCACAACCAATGCACTCCTCTGTAATTGAAAGGCACGTAAATCTACACGAAAACACAACGGCAGACCTTGTTTAGAGGCCATGCAAACATGTAATAGCTTTCATATTTTCGTTTTAATATAACGGGATGAACATTGATATTACCCTCTGGCATGCATCAATCGCACCAGTGTATCTATCATGTCCGAAAAATGATGTGACGATATGTTCATGGTGCAGAGGTTGCATATCTTTATTTAGAATCATAGTCTGCATGTGTAATGCGTAAAGGTCATTGACGGAAACATTTGTCAAAATATGCCATACACAATACACAACGTAGCTTTAAACACTTACTTACCGACAGATATACGGGAAAGAACCAATCAGTGTGCCTCCCGTCATTGTGTAAATCCCTCTGTCGATTAGTCAATTGCACCACCACCAAGTTGATTGGCTGGAACATTGTATGCAAGACACAAGGCAAGTTGATTAGAAAGGTTTCTGAGTTAGGGGTAACTGAAAACGCCAGATTCATATTTGTGCAGCCAACACTTACAGAGGATCACATCTTTGCAGAACATAGTATGATTATGCAGATTGATAATTAGTTGAACGAATGCATATAGTTGTGTAATTTTCAATGTGTGATTGATAATGTGATTTTGCTAAATTTGTTGTCAATCACACATGAATTGTTGTAATAAACTGCTATCAACTAATGTGTTAGCTGCGTGACTTGAATTAACTATTATCAACATTGGTAACTATTATCAAACTGAACTTAAATGTTCATAACTATTACTGATTTGTTGATAAGTATTTCAGTGTGCTTTGTTGAAAATCACATGTGTCATTTGTTGATAACTATTTCAGTTTGATAACTACTGAATCACAGTCTCCAACAATCTGCCCCTAATCATTTCACTTCAGCATGATTTGTTGATAATAGTTGTTTAACATGTGTGATTGATAATTTACTTGACATTGACCTGATATGTTTGTAAAACTGCCATGTTTGTTCAGATTGAAAATGCTATGTGTGTAACATGTGTGTAATTAATCACAAATGCTATGTTTGAAACTGCTGTATTTGTTCAGTTTCAGAAGCATTGATCTCAATAAAGTTAAGTAGGACCAGTTGGAAATAGGCATGTATGGATCACATCACATGTAATTTCCATGCTACGCATCCATGATTGATCTATGTCATTTAGCTGTATTAGTATACGTGACCATTGGTGGGTCGAGTTACGATTGATGTAATGAAGACCGCTTTGATCCTATATTAATATAGTTAATGGACAAGATTGTTTGGATACCCTCAAGTTGAGGGGCAGAAATAGAAATTAAAACATATTGGTTAAAGTTGGTTTTCATTCATTTTGAACTTCCACAACCTTTCAGTTTTGAAAACCAATAAATACAAATTAAAACCAATAATGGTTAAAGTTGGTTTTCATTCATTTTGAACTTCCACAACCTTTCAATTTTGAAAACCAATAAATAGAAATTAAAACCAATAATGGTTAAAGTTGGTTTTAATTCCTTTTGAACTTCCACAACCTTTCAATTTTGAAAACCAATAAATAGAAATTAAAACCAATAATGGTTAAAGTTGGTTTTAATTCCTTTTGAACTTCCACAACCTTTCAATTTTGAAAACCAATAAATAGAAATTAAAACCAATAATGGTTAAAGTTGGTTTGCCATGTATAAGGTCTGTCCATAGTTGTTTGGGTCGGCCATGGCATGCATTGTATAGCCCCTTTGCATTTTTGGCTTGTTGGCCTTAAGTGTATGAGTATGTAGCATGCATTACTTGTCTTGTTTTAATGGTTTGGCATCATTTATAGCATCATTTCAGTCCCATTAGCATGCTTGTATGCTTGCCTTGGATGTCTCTTTGATGCCTTATGAGCATGTGTTATATGCTCCATGTTTTGACCATTGTACATGTCTTTGAATTTGAGCCACTTAGATGCCATCTAGGGGGTCCCCTTTGCATGGTCTAGGTCTGCCTTGAACCTATTTTAAGTCCTCTTAGCCTTGTGAGGCTTGGTTGACTTGGTCATGGTTCAAGCCCCTTTGACTTGCTTCAAATACTTGGGCCATTTATTGCATGTTTAGTCTATTTTGTTTGCTTGGTTTGACACCATCTTAACATGATTTCCAATGCTTATCCTGCATGCCATTAGTCCACATTATGCCTCTTTCAAATGTGCTTGAGAGTTGCCCCATTTGTGCCTAAGTGTTGGCCCTTTAACATGTGCATGTGTGTGTATTTAGTCTTTTATTTTGGTCACTTTGGCCACTGTTTTGGGCCTTATTAGAGCTGCCCAAATCATGTTTAAGTCCATTATTTGTTTGCTTGCATGCTTACCTTGCATGTTGTTTGCATGCTTGCATGTACATCTTGCACTTCCATGTTGCATACTTAGCTTGTATGCCTAGGTTGCATTGCATCTAGCATGCATGTCTTGTTCCTTGATCTAGTAATAGAAATTGGACTTTGGTTTGTTGATTTGCATTGCATTTGACATCAAAATGTGCACACTTGGTCCTTTGGGCCATCACGCATGGAAATGCGCGATTGATGGTCCGAGAACCAAGGAGCATGTCCCTTTGAGTCACTAACATGATAAGGGACATGATTGGTGCATACATGCCTTGAATTGTATTGCCATGCTCTATCTTGCCCTCTGTTGCTGTCAATTGCAGATTCTGCAGGAGCTTTCTACCGATCGGCAGTGCTAAGTGCCGACCGGCAATCCTCCCTCTGCCGATAGCTTCACCAATGGCCGGTGATCACATGCCACTGCCGGTGGGCATTCTACCCAGCCGATGGCATTCCCCAGTATCCAGAGAAGCAATCCTGAGGTTTTGGCAGCCTCCAGAGGAGTAAAGAAAAGAAAACAGAGGCAGCCTATGCATGGCGGTGCACTTCCGAGCAAGACCCGAGTACGCGTGCATTGAGCTCCCTTCCCGAGGTAGTTTACTGTTTTTTTTTCTAGCTTAGTTAGTTTGTTAACTAATTAGGTAATTTGTAATAATTAATTAGCTAGGTTAGTTAATTCGTTATTCAAATTGTATTATTTATTCGGTCCCTCCGAGAGAGGGCGAATTGTAATAAGTGTGGGTGAGTGTGTGTGCATGTCTTCCAACCCCACTTCTTTCTTCCCTCTTATTTACCTGCTTATGATGGTAGATTAGGGCATGTTTAAATTAGCATACCTTATGCTATGCATGCGTGCATCCATACATTTTTCTTGCATGCACCGGGCTCGGTACATCACGCTAACTGCACTTGTATTTCAAATCCAAATTGAATACGTGCATCAATTGGTTACATTTCACATGCCATGTTTAGGTTAGCCGAGCCTACTCTAATTACACCTTGCATGTGTTGCATTAGTCAATTTGACATGAACTAGGATCACGCATGTTTGCTAACCAGTTTATTGTTTTGGCTTGGAGTACATTGTAAGTATTTATGCTTTAGCATCTCGCATGTGTGTGAATGTTAACATGATAGCATGCTTACCATGTGGCTAGATGCTTATGTGTTAAACTGTTTGAATGCCTGTGGGTCAAGGTTGGATTGCTTGAGTTGGAATAGCTCGTTGAAATCCGTGTTTTAGCCTACTTGCGAGTAGCAAATTCCAAAACATTTTTTCAAGATAAACGGATATGCAATGCTTATTTCCAAATTAGGCAATCTAGTCTATACTTGTTTGCTGTGCGCATAACATAGTAATTCTAGGCTAATAAATGGAATAAGAACACATAACGTTTTCAAAAAACGGATATCACGGTTAGTAGAGGCCGATCTTCGGATCGGGCGAGAGGGGGTGCTCATAGCTGACCTTCCCCAATCGTACCCTAGCTCCCGAGCCGAGGCAACTCTGGTGATGACGGACATGTGGCCTTCGGCACCGAGTCAGGGTTTCCTAAATTCCCATTTTAAAATATTTAGGTGGCGACTCTGTATCTGGCAAAGCAGTCCATGTTTGGCACTTCTTTTCAAAAATCTGTTTTCTCAAAACGATTTGCCGGATTTGGACTCTTTGGTTCAGATTAAGAACCGTGACACAAATCGAGTCTGAACTGTAGTAGCGGGGTCCCTCGCGGACGTGCTACAACATTTCATTTTTGCTATCGTCAAATACATAGTGAAGAAGTTTTTGTTCCTCCGCCGATAACAACCCTTCGCTGTCCAACATCGTCAACGAGTCCTACAAAAATAAACAGCCAACTAACAGTACCCATTTCATAAAAATATTGAAGCTTACATTACAAGGTCGGTAGTCATAAAAAAGAACGTGAAATGATGTAAAAACTGTGAGCCTCAGAGTTTTCCCAACTTGTGATGTTTGGTGCGGAGTTTGTTAGAAATGTGTACTAACATGTGGCAGCAGTCATAACTGTAAACATGCAATTCTTTGACAACTAGTACAATACAACACAGATGATTGTAAAATTACTGATTCACATTATTGATGTGGGCATGAATTGGGTATTCAGAACTTGTAGGGCATTAAAGGCAGTATTTGTACCTTGTTCACGTTGTCCACACCATCAACATCCACAGGTGAACTGCTGTCGTCAACTCCACTATTTGTTTTGCTATCAATGCACAATTGCATATCCTCGACCTCAGTGGCTTGAACTCCACTTCCGCGCATTTTTCCTTTTCCTTTTCCTTTTCCTTTTCGTCTTCCCTTTGCACTTCCTCTAACGATTCCAGTTGCTCCCAATGGTTTGCCAAGCTTAGTATGAGAAGTATGCACATCGCACACCACGTTCTTCATGCCCACTAACTGAAGGTCAGGAGTGTATTTATCTTCAGTTTCATATGTTTCCCCTGACTAAAGGCCTCCCTTCTTGTTGTTATCCCCACCTTCTTCGATGTTCAGCTTGTGCCCATCATGAAAATGACTTTTGTCCCTTGCCAAGGTTCCCTTCAAAATCTATTGTTGGTGATCCACCTCTTGTACATCTGAAATATTACACTCCATTGGGTTAACTTCATCAGATGGTTTGACCACGCCATCGTCATGCGCCTCGACTCCAACAACAAGGTCCACACCCTGTTTGGCCACGCCTGCCGGTTGCAGTGTAGAGAATATACCTTCGATGAGGTGGTGTAGCATTTGCTTCAGTTCACGTAAATTGGTTTGTTCAGTGAACGGTTCGTTGCAGCCCAAACTGAAACGTTGAAGCAGTTGCTTCAGCATTTCCTTCAGTTTAGCAACATTGGAGGAGAGGTTAATGATACACACATCATTGCCTTCCACCTAATCATACATACACATTCGTGAACTTAGTCTTACAAACCATCTTCAAATGATGTGGCTCAACTGTGTGAAAATTGCGTAATGCTTGGATGGATTACCTTGTCATTGCCAACAACTTGCTTGCCTTCGAAATGTCGCAACATCTCCATTAAATCTGTTTGGTTGTGGAGAACTTGCTTCATCATTTCCTTCAATTTGCGAATGTCGGACTCCAAATTGCTCATACGGACTTCATTGTACTGTCCTGTTTGTTGGTTCTCGACATGGTATGCATCCATGTCAGCATCATCGGCATTACTGTAATCAAACTCCACCTAATCATAGAAGCGCATAAATGAAGTCTGACATTGTATGTTGAAGACAAGTGGGTCGATGGTGTGAAATGTGCATAGTGGTAGGAGTGCTTACCGCAATTGTTGGGAAATTTTGCTTCCTTCTGATACGTCGCAGCGTCTCCCGTATTTGGGTATCACCCCAATCATGAAGCCGAGGTGTGGACCGCGTCGTAGTCGAGCTCAGACAAACACAATCAAGGTACAACAGCTGTGGACATTAAGGGGAACACCATAATTAAGTTGTTCTTCCCACAAAAATGAACTATATTCAGTAACAATGACATTCATTATTCTCAAATTTGCAGTGGAACGTACATAGCATACCGATTTTGTTGAGGATGCTGTCAACTTTATAGGCACATATCATGCAATGTTTTTTGGGGAAAAAAATGTACAGCACACCAAGGACTTTATTGATGAAACCAAGAAAAAAAATTTATGTACATGTTCCCCTCTTCGCAACGTAGTTTTAATTGGTTCCTCCATTAAGATTCGGCATACTTTTTGCCCTGTACTCTTTGTTCTTAAATTCATGACGGTAGTCACACAAAATATATTTCTGCAAGTACCATACTTGGTCAGGAAGAGTGTTGTTTGTCGTACTCACAAAGCAGGTACCATTGTATGTCCCAATCAAGGCCAATTTGTTGAACCATGACAGAACAATGCATGAAACACATGAAAGGGGAAATGGAAAAAAAATCAAGTTATTGGCATACCATTAACAGGAAAACACATCCAGTTGCACCACGATGACCTTTATACTTGCGAACACCGTTGTGAAGGAATTGCAGTGTCAACTTTGCACAATTACAAGCTCGCATACGATTCACGTCCTTCACGGCATGAATGAACGATGGCTTCAAGCCGGTCATTGTGGTAGGACACAACATGGCCCCCAACACGTACAGCGCAAATTTTCACCGAAACTCGTCCTCCGCACCAACAGTCTCGGTCAGATAAAGTCTCAACTTGTTCAAAGGAATGACTCCGTTAACAACTCCAACCTCATCGTAGATATTGGGATATGCTTCCAATGACCCAGCCAACTGCACGTCATCGCCTTCACACTGTATTCCCAATAAAACATTAACTGCCTTACACGTGAGCCTGACTTGACAACCATGAACATTCAATGAACTACTGTCAGGATCAAAGTTCTGTACCGACCATGCGCACAAGTCGTGATCTATACGTGTACACTTCATCCCCAGGAGGCCAGCAAACCCAATGTCAATGACTGCCTGCTTTTGTGCTTCGTTGAACCGGTTAACTAGCTCAACAATTGACTTCAATGATATGCGGAGTTGCCTTTTACCCTGCACATTTTTTACCCTTAAATTAATTCAAAAATACAACCAACAATGTCAGCAGAGCAGGACCTAGCCAAATGCATTTACGAAAACATGAAGTACGTAATGACCTTTTCAGACTTCGGTGCACATGGTACTACTTTGGCGTGTTCCTCAGCGCTCGTCTTAGCCATTTCCGTAAACCTCTTTTTCTCATCAGAGGGGAGTGCCTTCCACCTTTCCCCAATCTCCTTTCTAGTCTTTAACCAAGAAAATGACAGACGTACAAGACAAGTAACAACTATGAGTCCAAAATTACTGTAACTACAACTTTATGCCAAACGTGCATTGTTGGTAATTAAATAAGATTGCAAATACAAATAACAGTTGCAGCAAAAAGTCAGCGACAAAACGTAGCTGGACTTTTACAACGAATTGAAATTTACAAAAACAATAGGAAGATGACATTATTACATGCTACAATCCTACAAACGCGAAACAATCAGAAGCCCACTACGACCATTCAATACAACCTGTGGATAGCAACCCAGCGATGTGTTTCCATCATAGTGTATTATAGAGAATACAGATTTCGACACTCACCATTTTTCGTCGTGTGTTGTCTGGCCCTTGCATTTCCTTGAATTGTTGCTGGCTGCATGCAAGCATTGTGAAGCTTATCATCACTAAATGTTAAATATAAATACATATATATATATATATATGCAAGTTTTTATGTCAAGCTGGCCCCGAAATCGGCATAAGACAGCTTTCGTACATCCGGGACTGAATCGACACCAAGTTAAACATTTTCAGACATGCGGAACAAAACCAATTTGAAACATCACAAACTGAACTTCAACAAGGCGCATAATTTCAGTACGAAAAATGTAATTCCAGATTGTCAAAATAAACAACTAGTACCTGTAACAAATGAATGGTGCAACTGGCCGCTTTCGACAAGAGCCAGCGATAGTGTCAGACATTTGGATATGTTGCTCGGCAATTGTCTTCAATCTTTTCCTTCCCCTTATGAAAGAGCAAATCATACAAATTAGATGGAAGGGAGAATTACAGGGGTGGTGTACACATTTTGTCCGTCGTCTAATTTCGATCGATGCACTTTAAACTACCTAAATTGTGACAGTCCATTTCAAATTTCGTGGACATTTTCGGTCAAATTGCTAATGCCGTTTGTCATTTTTAAAACAAAGATTGTAATGTCAATTGATTCAGATTATGTAAGTTCAGTAAAGTTATAAGTTGACTACAACAAAAAATACAGTTGCCACGTATATGCATATTTTCTGATACAAAACAGTGAAGAGTTGAAATCAAATGGACGTAATTGAAACAAAAGTTCAAAATTGATGGTGCAAAGCGAGGCCATTCAAAATTTATGCCCGGATGGACCACATCTTAGAAAAGTTGGATATTAGAGAAGGACTGAAGGCAAACTTCTTCCTTAATCTGTTAGGCTTGTCCGAGTCAGGTGGGGAGAAGGTATTGGTTTTCAGCCATCGTCTCCGGCCACTTAAGTTGTTGGAAAGGCTCCTTGGTGATGGATTTTGTTTGTTTACAAACATATGTACGAAACCAACTGGTAGCAAGTCTTTAAGGAGAAAACTAACATTGTTGGTGCGAGGTGACCAATATCCATCAGATGCAATGACGACAACTCCTGCAAAGTATTTCAATCAATATTTACAAGAACACAAACAAACGGCTGCAACATGTGGCTGTTAACCTTAAAATTTTGCGTAAACACAGACAACAACACGCAGAATTTCCCAACACATATACAGATTTTGAAACAGACAAAAGAAAGGACACACATCAAAATTTTGCATTTCATTCACACAGCTTACAATTAAAATAATTATGTGTACAAGCAATAAATGCATAATTTCCCAAATATTGAAGAGGAAGGACTACATTATGTTTTTCATTTATGGCTGAAGGACTACACGCACATACTTTTATGAAGGCCCGACTACAAAGGACAAAGAAGCAACTGAACTATTTCATGACGGGGTTAAACAATCAAGACATGATTCTGCTGGCAGAGAAATTGGTGCTCATCCCAAGCACAAAAACCAAATCAAACCCCATCCATCAAGTTGAGGGCTTCAATTTCCTACGAGCAACTTGGTTGCAGAGAATCGAGGCAGCTGAATCCTGGCCTATGCTCCATTACCTTCGGGTGGTCAGACAGTGGGCAGATCAGAGAAAAATACTTTTCCGGGCGTACAAGCAAGTTTCATCAATTGTATGTCACAATGAAACAAGCAAGGAAATTGAAGCCCTCAACTTGATGGCTGGCCTTTCCAACAACTTAAGCGGCCAGAGACGATGGCTGAAAACCAATACCTTCTCCCCACCTGACTCGGACAAGCCTAACAGATTAAGGAAGAAGTTTGCCTTCAGTCCTTCTCTAATATCCAACTTTTCTAATATGTGGTCCATCCGGGCATCATCAATGCCCTCTGTTTCTGCGGTTGACGTGTCTGTAGGTGAACTCTTTAGGAGGGATCTCAACTGTGCGTGCACATACAGTGTGCTCCCATCCCAGGTGATGTTCAACTTCTTAACTACGTTGTTCAGTTCTTCAACTTCACGAACTGTCGTAAGGGTGAGGTGAAGAAATTCAGAGAAGTCAACAAGCCCAGGCAATTCACGAAGAAAATCTCATTCGTAGAAATGGACAACCTTGCCTGCCATTGCACGCAACTTTTGAATGACGGTTACCTTTCTCTTGAAGTTATCATCTTGCATATATATACAGCAGTTACATTTGAAGAGGAAGGTAGCTGTCATTCATGAGTTGCGGGCTGTCTAGACTTTATTGAGCGAGTTCATGAAATGCGTACTCTCATTTGTCTTTTTT